ACCCAATGATGTCCACAACGTATACCAGTTTTGTCTTCACCCGCTGTTTGTCTCTGTATTCATATTTGAGCGCCTCTTTCGTCAACTGAACCGCGCATTCAGTCAACACATTATCGCCGATCAATATTTCGACGCTTGTCATCCGCAGTATATTGTCATCGATTGGTTCGCATCGCTCGATGCCATCCGTTGATTGCATTTCGTTTGCATTTGGATTTACTTTCATTTTTTATCGAAAATATTTAATACTTTTATTTTTCTTTACTTTAGTTTCACTGATTTTTTTCTTCGGTTAATTTTTTACTCGTATTTCTCCTTCACTTTGTGTTTATATTTTTCTCTTTTTGAAAATCTCTGTTTAGTTTGATTTCATGTTACGAAACAGTTATCTAATGGAAAAAAATTAATTAAAAATCTTTATATTATCTGATATTAAATGACATTAAGAGATATCAGAGCTTACATTACAATCACACCAAATAATAACTTATATAAGAGTTAATTGAAAAAATAACTTAAGATAAAACCGGGTGTAAAGTCTATGAGTTAAATGTTTAATACATCTACTCTAAAGAGATCTTATTTAATATTTTAACCTTTTATTTAAAAGTATTTATTAATTGCTTAATTGGTTTCAATTACTTTCAAATAGCAAAGTATTTTCACGATTAAAATAAATGTAATATTTTTCTATTGATTGATTACTACAGCAAAGCTATAAAGTTTTGTTTTTATTACTAATTACACTCTCGTTATTATAATTTCAAGTAATTTCAATTCAACTCTAATTTAATCAAAAATAAAATAAATATTTTTCAAAATCTAAACTCAAATCTAAAATTGATATTAAAAGAGAAATATATTCACGAATTCAATGCTAAAAATGTGTGCAAAAAACTAATTTAATTTATTATTGAATGAATAAACATCGAGATTATAATAAATTATTAACTCTATTGTCAGTCACTCTCAATAATAAATGACATTAATTATAATGAATAGTGTTTTTCGTGAAATAACAATCAATTTTAGTCATTATTTAAATGAATTTTTCCTCAAATTTCGTGAAACAAAAAATAAAATATTAAATCCATTTAACAAACAAATAGAGAGATTCAATGAATTTCAACAAAAACACTGATAGCATAGACAACGCTATGAAAAATAACTGTTAAAAAACATAACAAACCGGAAGATAATGAAAAGTTTTTAAAAAGTAAAATCATTTCATAGCCTAGTATTTTGGAGACCTATTTTCAATGGGAAATCCAGTATTACTTGAATCGTATAGCGAAAGGAAATTCAATACTATTTTCAATGACATTTCACACATTAATTTCAATTATAATTATTGCCTTTTGTATTAGAAATATTCAAAATATACATATTTATATTAATATTTTTAGTGTTTATTTAGTTTTGTAAATGACATTTCATGTGATGAATGTATGGATATATCTCTTACCCGCAAATCATTATCGGAAGTCAACAGTTGTACAAATAGAGGCACAGAAAGGCATATGTCATACACTAGTTGTATATACCGTTTGGATATCACTTTCGGATATCTCTCTCCATAAGAAAACTGTTTTCACTGTTTGTATATAATATTTGTTTACATATATTCTGACATCAGTTGTGCGAAAAACACATCACAATATATATCATATGTTTTCATGTAATCAACAGATAAATTGTGATTACAAGTGGAAATTGGATACACTTTTCACTAATACAACAAAACAATGGGTTGGGAAAAAAGTTGATACCATATGAAATAGGATACAACACTCAACACTTGCTGTCCAAATGTAAACTTAAATATGTTGTTTAAAAAACAGTATTGAGAGAGAATAGGAAGAGAGTCTGTGAGAGAGTAGGAGAGAGAAGTGGAAAATGAAACGCTAGTTAAAGTGCTATTTGGCTCAAAACGATAGTTAATGTATAGTTTGTATGGTTTGCGCATATATTGTACACATTTGGTTGCTTTGGAAACCCACTTACCTTACAGGTTAAGGCATAATACAGTGCATACTGTACTCCCCAATACGAATACAACCAAGGTACATTTTTCTAACAATGTATGGATGCTTGATTGATTATGCTCAAGGCTATTTTTATCCTATTTTTCCCCAATAGTCTGCTGATCCTTAAATACCACTGTATTTTAGGTACAAACATATCAGTTGATCGTAAAATATTTTTAAACGAAACTTTAATCTATGTCTAAAAATGCAAACATTTTTACCTATTTCAGTCAAAATAGCGCCTGAATATTGTACTGGGTTTGTTTTTGTGGCTTTTGAAAGCACTTGTACTGTACTTGCATTGTATCTAAATAACTAAATTATAGCTTTTATCACATCATCGCTGACTTGAAGTTTTCATTTATTATCAATAGATTAGTCTTCACTTTATTTTCATATTTGATTTTGCCTTTCATTTGGTAATTAAAGAATCGTATAATCATTTTGTAACCAAAATTTTATGTTTAGTTTCAACATAAAAATGACAAACATTAAGAAATTGACTACAAAACAAGGCATTCAATGAAATGGCAATATTTTTAGTATTTATTATGTGTTATAATAACACAAAACAGAAAACTAAATGATATTCTTTATACACTTTCCTACTTATGTTTATTAATCAATAAAATGTTTTGCTATTAATAATAACATGTTATTTTAAGCATTCATTATATTTATGGAATATTATTATAATTGTTACTAACATGTGATGATTTTGCACAGGAATAGCAAGTGAAGTTTAGCTAAAAATATTCTGTCTGTGTAATTTAATGTAATTAGTAAGTTGTATAATTACAACTATTATATCGTGTCTGCAATTAAAACATAATTATTGTGTAATTGTTTAGAAAATTCATAAATTATCACAAAATATTTCGCATTTCTTTATTGTGTAATTTATAGCATAAGTATTTTAAACGTGGGACTAATTAATGTCTCTATAACACGACTTTGATGATTACTTCACTTTATGATAATTATACCTAAAAATATTAGACAAATGTAAATTTTAAGTTAAAAATAAAAGTGATTTTAATATTTAGATTAGGATCTTAATAATTATGTCGATATCTAATTCAAAAAATTATTAAGTTAAACGAGAGATAAACAACTTTATAATACAGGTATCCGTAGGACTTGTATTGACATGACTTCCGTGTCTTTTAAATTGCTTATCCATTACTGAACCTAAAGATATATCCGTAAACAAAATCAAAACCTAATTTACATTCACTAACATTACTGTACACATCATATGCAGTACACTATACACTATAATATACTTTACTATATATTATGTACTATTAAAATAAAAGTTTTGGATATTTTTTGACCCATAAATTAAAATATTAATTTTAATGTATTAATTGATTTATTTATTTAAATATTTTGTCTATCTATTTAATAAATTACTTTGTGTAAATGTACCAAGGCAGTTTATATTTTATTTTATTGCTTCTTTGTACTTCTTTTATATTAATAATATTATTATAACATTTGTAATAATTTTGTAAGAATGATATAATATAAGAATTATATTTATAAAATACAGTATAAAGGAAATTTATATTTATAATAGGAAATAAATGTTCTTTTATTATGACATTTATTATTCTTAATGTTAAGTATATTCTACACTGTAATTGTGATTGTAATAATCTACAGTATAATTGTTCAAAAATGTTTTATTAACATAATTATTATTTTATTTTCAATATTATAAAATGTTATTGTCTGCTAACACCATTTTATAATCAATATTATAAATGTAATTTAAAGTTTGAATATATTTTTGTCGTCAAATAGTCAATATTCAACTAATTGCTATTATTGTTATCAAGTAAAATTGATGATAAATTAGAAAATAATTAATTTAAGTACTCAAATCATAAATATAATCTTCATATCAAATACACTATTAGTACAAAAATAGATATTAATTTTTGGGCGAATATATCAATAATTTAGTCAATTATTATCAACTGGTTGTCAGGCGTTGTCTTAAATAGTGAATTGTCTGCAGTTATGTCTGACATGTAATGACCACAAAATAGTTTGAGACAATTTATTACACATTTTGCATGAAATTGTTTTATTCACTCATTTATTATTTATGCCTAAAGTGTACGGAAACCCCTTTTATTGAGTTTCATTTACTAAACTTAAAATTTTTTGAATAAGTTTTAAAATCAAATTTTTAATAAATTTTATTTGAAATAAAATATAACAATTTTATAAATTAAATTCTCTATTATTATTTCAAAAAAATAAATGCTTTAAATATTTGTTAAACAAATAATAAATGTACAAAATACATTAACAATTAATACATTCATCAATAGCCCATTCTGGCGGTTAGTCGGGACCGGAGGGCAGGTATACTCGATAATAGTGTAATATTCAAGAGCGCCGGTCTATCCGTCTTCTCTAATCTCGATTTCATGTAATACTTAAGTAATCGAAACTATATATGAAAAGAGAGAAAAACAAATCATGAATTCAAACAAACAACAAAACAAATACATATAATATTAATTAACATACGGATCGATAGAGAACTGGTTGTATAATATGTTCAAATTGGGAAAACATATCATTGAAATGTATTGGTGTTGCTCTGGACTCGTAGTTGACGGCCAACATCTGGCCAACAGTGGCGCCGATTAGCAATAATTTCATGCCTATCACCACAATGTCCGCTGATATACATCTGACCATCTGTTTAATAATGTCGTTCTCAGTCAAGTCCTCCCCGTTTTCAGTGGACTTAGTGAACGAAATGTAGGCCAGAATCGCGTAAAACGTGTAAAACGAGTCGCGAATGATTCCGACCAGAATTATGATGAAGAATGTGGTCATCACTAAATTGAAGGCATTATTCACTCGCGATATAAGTTTGGCGTTTGTTTTGAACAAACACTTGATTTCTCGCAAATGCATCAATTCTGGCGCTTCCGATGTGTTCACCAATTGTTTTATGAAATCATTCATTTGTTTATATTTGAAGTGTATTGCCTTTAAAAAATAGATATTGATTAATAAAATCTATTTAGTTATCTAAATATACTAGAGTATGTGTTATATAAATTACACATTCAGCATATTTCATTTTTATGAAAAATTATCAGCTTATCAATTAAATTCCTAAATCTTAAAAACATAATTTCTATCAAAAAAATTAATCACTTTTTTTAATATAAAAGAGTATAAATAGTTATATTTTTCCTTTTATTAATAAAAACTAACCATTATATAAATTGAATAAAATAATAGATATATTATAGATTCTATAATGTTACATTATAGAATCTATAATATATCTATTATTTTATTCAATTATTAATGTAGAATATTAAAACATTATTAATGTAGAATATTATTTGAAAATAATAAATATATTTATGAATGATTTTATTTATAGTTAAAGAATAAGTCTTAGGATCTGTAGTGTAAACTGATATCTACTGTAAGCACTTTTATTACTTTATAAAGTACCACTAATATTGTTTTTAATATTAAACAACTAGTTAAAAATTATTGAATAAAATTTTAATGATTACTTACCGAAGCAAATGTGATGTAAACGGGAATCAGAAATGTATTGACAACTCGATGAGGAAGATGTCCAAAGTATTCAACTTTGGTCTCGAAAGTATAGCCAGTCCTGAGTCTGTATTCAAATGTTATGTAACCAATGATATGAATTGCCAAACATATTACAATCAAAACGATGAGTTTGAATACAATATTGATGGACTGGATCTGTCGGGTTGTGATCAAATCAAAGTCCAACTCCGCGATCACGTCTCTAATGAGATAGCCTTTCGACCAAAAGAGATCCACTGTTAAGATGATTGGTATGATCTCAAAGAAATCAAAAATGGTGTCCCAGAGATCCTTAGGCACGTGACCTAAAATGAATAACCGATATATGATATCGCCCAAAATGACCAAGAGCCACGCATTCAACACCAACGCTATGACCAGCGATATTATATTCACAGGCAATAACATCATGTTCTTGAATATAGACTTTAACCATTTGGATGTGTTGTCGATCCGACTGTTGTCGTCCGCTTTGGTCGAGACAATGGCGCTGAGCACCGGAGCGCCGGTCAGTATGAATGGCGACATAATTAGGCCGATAGAGTTGCGCCAAAACTTGGACACAACGGCTATGTTTGAACTGGAGGTCCATTTGTTGCTCACATCCAACACCACGTGTCCGGAGGAGGAATGGGAGACGGACTTAGAGTTGGCGTTCATAGAGTTGCGACTATAAATGTGTTGACCGTTTGGATGGTCGGCGACTGCCGTCACGTCGCTGTGTCTGCTCTGTCTCGACATCGCTATAAACGCCGGTTTTGTGTCTGACATACAATTAATGGTCTATTTTATGGCCTCTCATAGTGTCTGACGATTAAGAATCTGAAATGAAATTAATTTAGATATTAATTGTATTCTTGATATTAATAAAAGTTTTTTCATCCGTAAAAATCAATATTTAAAGCAATAATAATTATATTCTATTACTATTTCAATAAAAAATTCCTAATAATATAAAAAATTAGTTATAATTAAAATGAGTTTTCAAAACAATTGCTTTTGTGGTGAGCATTAAATATGAAATAAAGTAATTTTCAATGTTTGCCCACAGAATGTGTATTATATATTTCAAATGTTTTCAAATATTGTACTATTTACTTAATAATATTTACTTTTCACATAAAAACTTACCTTATTTTTCATAATTTGACAAAAACTAAAAAGATATTTAAAATATATAACTTTTTTCCGTCTCAAGTATTGACAAAAACGAAATGATATAAAATCAATGAATTATTTTGAAATAATAAAGAATTGCCATTAAGTTTCGTAAATGTCATTTCTTATGATAATTAAGTAATATATTTGACACAAAATATATTGAGCTAATGAATCAAATTCTTGGTAAAATATTGATAGAAATGCTATGATTTTTATTTACAACACATTTTTATGTATTATTGGTCAATGAAAACAATTCTTAAGAAATAGAGAGCACAGGAATATTACCGTTAAATTTGAAATATATTTTTACAAAAATAATAAATAATGAATTCTTGTTACTATTGGATACAAATTATTAATGCTTTTGCTGTCGTATTTGTATTGAGTAGTATAGCTTTGAAGAGTATATAAGACTTTAGGCATTTATAAGTATATTTAAATATAGACTTTTAAATTTAAATAATAACTATCAGAATAATTTATATTTAATTCATTTACATTTTATAAAATAAATTGAAATATATAATATTTCACTGCATAATCGTGGAATAAATTTACAATTAACTTATAAGCCAATAACCCAATAAAAAATTCTAGCTTAAATAATAAGTAAATTATATAAATTGTTGTGAACTTAATTAATTGGATCTTTAATTGCAGCTAATAAACTACAAAACCTTTAGCATGTTTTGCGGTTAACATTAATTTGCATTTTAATAAATTGTCATAAATTATTAAATTAAACCCAACACAACATCTATAGAATTTAATTACATATAAATTAATCCCAACAAAATACAACAACTATTTCAATCAATTAATAATATGATTAAATACAGTGCATGTATACATGTTTTGTTCTGATATTTATAAATATTTTAAAGAATCAATATAAAATAAATAAACGACCAACATCAATTATAGAAAACAATTACCATAATCATTATTATACAGTATTATAGTATAATAATTATACAGTATTACTAACGAAAGGGCAATACTATATTATTGTTAAAACAAATAATGATCTAATGAATCAAATGCCAGCCAAACATTACTGAATATTAAATACATTGAGAGTATGATTATTGTCTATAAAGTTTTATTGAGATAAAGGTATACTGTATATGACTTTTATTTTGTTAGTTAATAGTCAATGTTTTAATGTAAAGTAAAAGTAATGCATTATGTAATGCATAGTTTGCTATTAAATATCATATATTTCCCAAAGGACCCAAAATAAGGTTCAATAACTATTAAAAATTTCACACCTTATAAGTAGTAATCATATATTTGTATTGTTTTTACATCACTTTTTAATCATCAAAAACACATTAATCTGATCACAGGTTTAAATATCTATAAACTCTTTTGTGTCAAAACTGGTGTTTAATAATCACTATATTATTGGCGAAGAAGAAGAAGATATCAATCAAAAATGGTTAGCATTGAATACAAAACTATTAGACTTATTGTAGACTTAAGTTAATAAAATATTTTCAATCATTAATAAAATTCAATCATTTATAGGTATTTAAAGGTATATTTAAATACATAGTAAATGATGGTTAAGTGCAGAAAGATTTTGTCACAAAGTGATTGTGTGATTAATAATCAGTGATTATTTATTTGACTCAAATCTCCATTACTTATACCGTAATTAAGTGTTTTTCCAATAGAGAAGTGCATTGTATGCGATAATAACCGGTATATTAACCACAAATATACTCACATCGAAAAAGATTATAATTTAGTATTTAAT